TCGTCATAGTCAAAAATTCAAATCATTTTGGCCTGGCTCCTTTTACCCATTTTGGCTTAAAGGCAAAGGTCGGGCTCAGGCACGCTAGAAAAATAATCCCCGTGCCTGGAGGTTGTATGTGGGTTGCACACAATGCAGCAACCTCTCACCTTAGAAAACCCCGTTAAGGCCCCAGGGCGTTCGGTTTCAATCCAGGGCCGCCTGGTCAATCCAGGACCGCCCACCTCCGGACGTGGTGCGTGGCTGGCATAACGTGTGAGATTAGCTAGGTTGATTTCCGTATCAACCGATAGAAGGAATAACACCTCAAGAATTTTTTTTTGTGTGTACCGCTTTCCCCAAGCCAGCCTCCTTCACTGCTAGAGGGAAAGAGGGTATGTTAACGGCCTTGTCAACGGTTTTTCTGTTTTTTCTCCACTGTCGTTCCACTTCGCATCTCTATACTCAGTTTCAATCGCCATAATACCCCCTTATTGAGCCCGACTTTTGTCTTAAAGTCATATAAACCATTTCAGTCATTTCGTCATCATTTAAGCTTGCATTTTTGAAGCTCTCAATTGTCTGCCAGTTCATTCGATCTTACTCGTTTAGTTTATTTGTCTACTGTAGGCTTACTTCCTTCCTTTAAGCAACTACGCCTGCAGAGCCCGCGGTAAGGCTGTCGATCTATCAATACAGCCGTTCGGCTTACTTAGGTAGTCGCGTGGGGCTTCACTTTTTTCTTTACTTGTTCCCCTAATTCTTTACACCACATTACTTTCACGCTTCTTTAGCCTCCTTAAGCTTTCATCTCATTCGTATCACTCTCGCATTTTTCTCGCAACAGTTAGGAGTTTGACTGATTCTAGGTCACTCAGCTCATTCTGCTATTCTTGCTACTAACTTATTAACGCTACTTCCGGTATGACTGGAAAGCTTCGCTCGTTGAAGGCTAGGACGGCGGCTACGCCAATGTCTTGTTCTGCGATGTTGCGAAAAGGTCAGGTAAGATGCCAGATGAATCGCCATCATGTGTTTCGTCACCGCCTTTGCCTCCAGCGCAATCAGAGGTTAATGACTTGTCGACTGACTTTAGCAGTTCCGTGAGCATGGTGCCATCAGACACATCTTCCCAGCCGCCGCAGGCATGAATATCTGACAAGTTGACCCTGACGAGGGAGACAAAGGTGGAGATACGGGCCATCAGTCGCTTGTGATTGTGGGGTCAATGAATCAGTTCATTCCAGTTCAGTCCAAAGAAGAACAAACGGCTCCAAGGAACGTATCTACCCCGTTATCAGCACCTTCGAGCGCACGTGTTATGAAGGAAAATGTTTTCGTTCTGCTTTTGTTTCACCTAAGACACCTGATGCGCCCGCATCAGATACTTTAGTCAAATTTCGAAAGAAGCTTTGCCTTCAGCGCAGGATTTCTACAGGGAACACTTTTGTCACTTGGTCTCTCGTTCAATCCTCAATTGCAAACATAGACGATTATGCTTGAATTCTTCGTCAAGTGGGTCGCGCCATGCGCGAGGCACACGATGAATATCTGAAAGAGTTCGAACATTATCGATGAGGGGTGCGTAGTACCTCCACAACGTGTTTCAACCAGGGTGAAAAACCGTGTCGAGGACGTTGTCGCAGAAGTACGACCCACCCTCCCCCCTGAGATCGAGTTCTTGGCACGAAACTCCTAAAACGAAGCATACGCCATTAATTAATCAATATTATTGCAAAATAATAGTGTTAACGCCTTCTCCTGTCATATTTGCGCTTTCTTTCATCGCTGCCACACAAAAGTGGTCTCCGCCTCCTCCGCCACAGCCTCAAGCGGTACCAAGGAGTTCACGACCCCCATGCGTTTTCTGTGCTCAGCCAAATCATTATTCAGCGGAATGCCACTTTTGAAGACGGCTTATACAGAGCGCGCACATACTGTGGAATAATATCATTTGCAGCAATAGGCTCAAAAGGCATTATGGCGTGCTTCCACTTTGAAAGATGCTTGTTGTGTCTACAAAGTGAACATCGTCAGGCCATTTGCGTCCTTAATAAACATCTGATTGTAGACATAACTTCCAGCTTCTAGCTTTTACGTCGATGTAGCCAGAGAGACATATGTTCACTCACGCGAAGAGCTTAGGATGCGTGGTTAAGATTCTCCACCCAGTAAACATCAATCTCGTTCACTCTCTATGCACTTACCACTAGGTCGTCAGCAATTTCAGGTTCAGGTTCGACAGCAAGGATGTCAACAGGCTCATCAGGATCAAGAACTCAGCAGCAGGTTCCACATAAGGTTCGATATGAGCAGGTTCATCAGCAGCGACACCAGCAGCAGGACCTTTAACCTCGGATGGATAGTAGGTCATATTTCAGAGGAGCCCCTGGGGGCACAGGGTCAAGTCAACGTGGACGCCCATGTCGAAGGACTCTGAATGGATATTTATCGCTTATGTATAGTTATCTGATTTCCCGCGTTTAGCATCTTTCTAAGATCAGTAAGTCTAGAGTTTCTTAGGTTTAGTCTATCTATGACTTTAGGAAATAATGCGTGTTGTTCTGCCGCACAGGTTGTTACGGTGGAACTTCTTTACTCGGTCGACGATTCAAAGAATTCGACGTCTTTGAGACCTGAAGTCGGTTGGAAGTTGCTAGCGTGTAACTCTCACGGTCAAGCCTCACGCTACACTCAAGATGCAGAAAGAAAGGAAAATCTAACAAGGGAACCAACCTTTGTAGTTCCACAGTGCCACATGGTCTCTCAGTCCTTGAATATATGCGGAAAAATGAGATACACTCGACACACGACAATGAACATGTCATACGTGCAGAATGCGAATATCTCACAATCCACATAAAGGAATGAAAGGCAGGAATTCATTTGGACACAGCTCTAGACCGGATAGAATTACAAGTCTCCTTTGACCCACTACCGAGAGCTGCGTGATTTGTCCGTATGAAAAGCATGAAGACCGTGCACCGAGGGACAGCATACCAACTCCAATTCTCAACCTGTAATGTGGTTTATATCGTTTATATCGGAGAGACGGGCAGAATTAGGCGCGTCAAAGAACATTTGGCTGGAAAAAGGCTGGGAAACCTGCTACTCCTCTTGGCAAGCACCGGTTAGAAGACCACCAGGTGATTTTAATATTGAATGTAGAATGGCTGAAGGGAAGGCGCGGCGATCAGCAGGTACCATCTTTTTCGCGGGCTCTGGGGTATTGATCTACGTGATCAATCCTGGGGGTCCATCAATGCATAATCTGACCCTTAAAATTCAAATCTAACCTTGGGGGGTCTCCTTAAGCCACATGACCGACCCTGAAGGTGCGAAACACGTATAAAAAACAACCCCGCACGATCTTCAAGCCAAGAGTGCCTTCCAGCTCTCGGCTTTTGTAAAGGTTAGCGGGTTTTGTCATCGTTCATGGCTTCTATCCCTTAGTTCTTCTTCTTGTAATCTGAAATGACAATTGGATGAATTGTCTCAAAAATATGCTTCAATTTGCAGGCTCCGAAGAAGGCGAGTGGGCCGAAACGTAAGCCGAGATAAAGTTCTATACCAATCTCGGAAGCTCGGACAGAAGCAACGAATGTAGAATCCTTGCCCGCGAGGACGACATCGGTGCTAGGAAGATGCTAGCGTTCTATATCCGCGTGCGAAATCCAAGGTTAAATAAGCGAAACGAGTGCTGCCATTACAAATGAATTCCTGCCTTTCATTCCTTTATGTGGATTGTGAGATATTCGCATTCTGCACGTATGAGATGTTCTTGTCGTGTGTGTCGAGTGTGTCTCATTTTCCAGCATATATTCAAGGTTTGAGCGACCACGTGGCACTGTGGAAAGGTTGGTTCCCTCGTTAGATTTTTCTTTCTTTCTGAATCTTGAGAGTATCGTGAGGCTTGGCCGGGTGAGTTACACGCTAGCAACTTCCAACCGACATCAGGTTCTGAAGACGACGAATTGTTCGGAACGTCGACCAAATGAAGAAGTTCCATCGTAACAACCTAGGCAAAACAACACAAGCAATATTTTCAGCATGCCAAGGTTTCAAGAAGACCGAACATGGAATCTATGTATTTAAGAATTTTCAGGTTACCTCTTCAGGTGTAAGTTTGTCTGTTATAGTTAGGTAATTAAGTTACCGCCTTGAGTGCCCCGAAGTGGATTCCCAGAGCACACTCTTACCGCACATTGACGACAAGTAAGTTTAACTTTTATATGTAGGCTAATAACTGTTTCAGACGTCGTTTCACTCCAACGATGGCTAGTATAGAGATCATTAATCTCTATACTAGCCATCTACGTGATCAATCCTGGGGGGTCCATCAAATGCTAATCTGACCCTTAAAATTCAAATCTCACCTTGGGGGGTTCCCTTAAGCTATATGACCCGACCCTTAATGTGCCGAAAAACGTATAAAAGCAACCCGCACGAGTCTTTAAGCAAGGGTGCCTTCCAGCTCTCGGCTTTGTAAAGGTGAGCGGGTTTTTGTCACTGTTCATGGCTTTTATCCCTTAGTTCTTCTCTTGTAATCCGAAATGACGGATTGGATGAATTGGTTTCAAGAATATGCTTCGATTTGCAGGCTCGAGAAGGCGAGTGCGGCCGAAACGTAAGCCGAAATAAAGTTCTTTATCAATCTCGGAAGCTCGAGAGAACCAACTAATACTATACTAATCATGCCGAGATTAAAGAGAGTCGTTCATGGAATATTCTCTTAACACTATCTCGAGGCTGATCTTGCCACTTTAACCGCCAACTGGTCTCACTGTAAGCTTTCAGCATTCGCTTTATCTGTAGCTTCATCAAATGTTAGTGCAGACACGCCTCATCTGTACGCGTACAAAAGGGCCGAGTCGTACTGTTAGGGTATCCATTCATCGTTTCTCCTGATTGGCACTCGTGCCCCTTTAATAGCTTTACCGTCTCATTTCTTGTAAACCGCGTGGCAAATAAACCTGTATATTGGTGCATCGGCGCGACTAGAACGACCCCTGGACTTGAAGATGACATCGGCACTTTCGACCAGACAGGGACTTCTGACGAAGGCAGCAAGCAGGCTGAATTCGCTTCTTGACGACACTCAGTATCAGCCACGAGACGGACCCTTGGAGACTCCAACAGACCACGAAGAGAGGAAGCAACGTATTCGGACCGAACAACTGCGATTACGGAAAGCAAGAAAAGTCATCGAAATGGAAGAGAAGAATGTCGACACGGCACAAGCATACAATGAAGAAGTTGACACGTTGGCTGCGGATACACCACATCTTACCGACATCATGGAGAAAGTGAAGAACAATTCAGCGAAGGCAGAGGAGCTTCTAGAAAAAGCTATTCGCTCAAGAACTCGAATAGAGGAAAACTTGGAAGAACTGGAGGCAGCAATATATGTAGACACGTCAACACAGGACACACCAAGAATCAAACTAGCACCCGTCCCGGTACCAACTTTCAACGGAAAGGTGTGGGAGTGGGAGTCATTTTGGAGTGCTTTCGAGTACTCACTTCACTCAAGGAATATGGACGATGTCTACAAAATGAACTACCTCGTGAACGCGATGAAAGGAGAAGCTCTGGATTCGCTGAAGAAACTCGAAATGAGCGGAAACACCTATCAAAACGGCGGTCGAACATTTGAAGTCCAAATACGGAAACAAAGAACTCCTCGTTACGCAACTCGTGCGGCGCTTGGAGAAAACGAGGGCCAGAAGCAAGTGGATGGAAGACCAACAGAAACTGTGCGAAGAAATTTCGTCAATAGTCAATCAATTGAAGCTCAAAGGGGAAGGGATTGATGGAGCACTGCTTCAACAGCAAGTGCTTTCCAAGTTTACTGAAACTTCAGGACATTTCTCCAGCGAATGCACGAAGGGTGCATGCCGCTTATGCGATACTGTCGGACACCACACATCCATATGCAAAAAGCTTCACTCCTTGAGTACAAGCACCAGCCACCAAGAAACTGGCCCAAACAAAGGCAAAAACGCGCTCGCCAACTACAGTACGACAACAGAGCAACGTCAGGCAAAATTTGGTGGCCACTACACCGACGGACAAAGCCCCGGACGAGTTCGAAACTGTGCTGTGTATGAACAGCACTGCTACGTATAGGACCATAAAAAATGTCGTTCTCGTGTAAGAGGCATACGTCTTAAATTCCAGTACGAATGCACTGAAACGTGTTCTACTACTGGATACGGGGGCCGATCGCTCTTTCATTGCTGAAGCTCTAGCAGAGAAGCTAAAATTGAAGAGCATCGACACTATCACACTTAAAATCAGCACCTTTGGATCTAAAGGAAAAATGGAGAAGACGTGCGGAGTCACCAATCTCCAAGTCTTCGATTACACAGGAATGCCATACAGCTTTTCAGTCCCCCGAGTGGAGTACCTGACAGAACCTCTTCAGAGAAGTAAGCTGAGTGAAGAAGACAAGCGCTACCTGGTAAATCACGACATCGAACTTTCTGTCAATCCTTACGCAAAAGAGATTCAACCCGAAATCCTTTTGGGGCAGTGATACCTTCGAACTCATGGACATCGAAGCGAATACTCAGAGAACTCTCCCTTCTATCTTGAGATTGATCCCATCACGGCTCGGATATCTCGTAACAGGACAAATGACATCCAATCAGAAGGACACAATCTTTTGTGAACTCGCTGGTTCGTCGAATGACGAGGAATACCAAGAATGGGAACAATTCCTTACTCTTGGATCCACAGGGGTAACCGAATTCACCGGATCAAAGGAACACGAACAGGAAATAGTTCACGATGCTGTCTGGAGGAGCTTCGAAGAGACAGTAGAGCTCCATCAAGACGGTTATTACGTCAGATTGCCATGGAAAGAGGAAGCAAGTACGCTTCCAGACTACAAAGCCATAGCGTACCGAAGGCTATGCGCGATTTTAACCAAACTCCAGAGCAGTCCAGAAATTCTAGAACAGTATCATAAGACGTTCTTGGACCAAGCCGAAAAAGGAGTGATCGAAGAAGTGAAGCCTGACCTACCTCGGACTGGCAACATCATACACTACCTCAGCCACCAACCGGTAATTACATCCGACAAAGAGTTCACCAAGCTGAGAATAGTATTCTATGCTTCGACACACTTCAAGGAACGACCAAGCCTGGCCAATGTCCTCTATCAAGGACCTGTCATACTTCCCATGATAAACGACATACTGCTCAGATTTAGAATCGGAAACATTGCCATCATAGCATATGTCGAAAAAGCTTTCCTTCAGATCCGACTTCATCCAAAAGATCGTGATGCGACGTGTTGCCTTTGGGTAAGGGACGTCACGAAGGCACCGGAAGGAGAAAACTTGGTTTAGTATCTGTTCACCCGTGTCACCTTCGGTTTGAACTGCTCTCCTTTCCTACTGGCGGCCACAATCAGACATCACTTACAAGCGGCTGTACAGAACAAGAAAATTGCGAAGGAGTTGATACCGAACATTTACGTCGACAACGTAATTTTTTCAGCGTCCGATGAGGAAGAAGCGGTTCTGAAATGCAAGGAAGCCAAGGCAGTTTTTGAAGAGATGAAAATGAATCTTCGTGGATTCCAAACTAGTAGTCAGCTCGTGAATAATGCAATCCCCGTAGAGGATCGAAGTTTACACAGCACGACGAAAGTCCTCGGAATCTCATGGGATTCTCAAAAGGATACACTCACAATCCAAGGACGATTTCGAGAGAGAACCAACGTCACCAAAAGAACGGTTTGTGAGCAAATTGCGTCCATTTACGATCCCTAGGGATGGCTCACACCTTTGATGCTAAGAAGCAAACTGTTTCTACAACATCTGTGGAAATCAGGGTATGACTGAGATACTCCTCTGTCATCAGAAGACGAACAGCAGTGGACTCAAATAAGAAAGGATGTCACCGGCTTTGTGCACGTTGCGATGAGAAAAACAGCACCCATAGCTCCGACCATAAAGCTAGCCAACTTCGCGAATGCTAGTAGCCAGGCTATGGCTTCTTGCGCATACATCGTAGTAGACTCAAAGACACATCTTGTCTTCGCGAAGTCACGGTTACCAATGCCAAAAGTAACCCGACGATTCCGAAGATGGAAGAATGCAGTCACCATGGCGGCAAGAATGGCACACATGCTAAACGAAGCTTTGAAAGAAGTCGTTTTTATTGACTCCATCATAATCTTGACCGATTATCGGAAATAGCCTTGAGCTGGCTCGCGAAACTTCCTGTCAACAAGGATGCTGGCGTTCTCGTTAGAAACCGAATACTGGAAATTCGCAAGATTGCGGCAGACATACAGAAACCAATACGGTTTGGTCATATGAATACGGAAGAGAATCCAGCTGACTGCGCCACCAGAGGACTGTCCAGCACGGAACTGACAAATCATTTCTGGTGGACAGGTCCCGACTTTCTCAAGTCACCCGAAAGCAGCTGGCCTAAGCGACAACAGCGGCTCACTCTGCCACAAGACATTGATGGAGAAGTCGAGGAAATAAAAATCTGCCTAGTAGGAGTAGAATCAAGGGACGATGACAAGGAATTGATTGACTGGAACAGACATAACTCCTTGTCTACTACGCAACAAACCGTGGCTCTGGCACTTCGCTTCTTGAGACGCCCAAATGAAAGGGTGTCACACGTGCTGTCGTCTCGGCTCCAAAAAAATATTCCAGCATTGGAACCGAGGAAGGAATATCAATATGTCACCGCAGAAAGAGACGAAGCACTCCATGCCATCGTGCAAAACCATCAAGCGATCCATGTCACCGAACAGCTCCGAAAATCGATAAAGAGCCTCAACCCCTCAACCTCCAACCGGACAAACAAGGGCTTCTTTGCTGTTACGGTCGACTGGATAATGCGCAAATTTCAGAACTCACAAAGAGGCCACTTTTCATAATGGCAAAAACACCTCTGGCAGCTTGCATCATAAAAGAAGCCCATTTACAACTTCATCGCGGAACTTCTCATACGATAGCTACCATTCGACAGAAGTTTTGGATCCCCAAACTCCGACAACAAGTGCAGGCAACAATAAGGAGATGCATTGCTTGCCAAAAAATCAATAATCTTCCATTCCCATACCCACCAATGGGACCATTACCGGAGAAAAGAGTGGTTCGAACAAAGCACTTCGAGAATACCGGCATCGACTACTTTGGACCATTACTCACGAGACAGAGTGATGTGCGCAGCAAAGCATATGGTATCATACTCACCTGCATGACCACCAGACTAATCCACATTGAGCTCGTGCAAGAAATCTCCACAGAAGTCCTTCTCATGGCATTAAGACGATTCTTTGATCGGAGCGGTGTTCCTGCTACGCTCACCTCCGATAATGGATCGTCTTTACTCGCAGATCAAGTTCTAAAAGATGCGGTTCGATCGGTCACAGATAATGAACGATTTCCGGTGCTAAAGGCTAGTAGAGGAATCGAATGGACAACCATCACACCATATGCTCCGTGGCAGGGAGCGTTCTATGAGCGGTTGATAAAATCAGCGAAAGACTCCCTCTACAAAACCATCGGCAACCTAGTCGTGACGAGGGAAGAGCTGGTAACACTCCTAATCGAAATTGAATGATGTCTTAATTGTCGACCCCTCACTTATCAAGGCTCTCTCTTCGAAGAAGTACGCCCATTACGGCCCATTGACTTCCTCGTTAGAGACCTAAATAACCTATCCATTCGAAGCCTTAGAGGAGATATAGGAGACTCAGAATATTTTCCTCCAAACCAGCTCCTACCATTCCGAACAAGACGACAAGTAATCGAGCCCTCAACTCAACGCACAAGATTTACGGAGCACTACTGGGCAATATGGCACAAAGAGTACCTGAGCAGCCTAAGAGAATTTCACAAATGGCACATGGACAAGAGACGTGCAGGAACCTCGCACCCAGTTGAGAACAGCATAGTTCTACTCGTCGATGAAAATCAACCGAGAAATACTTGGAGAATCGGCCGCATTTCAGCATTAAAGAAAAGCAGTGACGGCGCCATTCGCAAGGTAGACGTGACACTTCCGAAGGGACATGTGCTGAGAAGACCGGTGAACCTTCTAGTGCCATTGGAAGTGGACAACTTTCAAGAAGAACTCACGTCGACAAAGGCGACTCAAATCGAAACTATGCAGGACAGCAAAGACGCCTACCAGTCAAGGAAAACTCAGAAGTGAAACGCTACGATTTGAGGGAACGACGCCCCGTAAACTATAGGGAAAGCTATCAAGGACAATCCAAGGCGTACAAGATCACCACGATGGCTACAATACTTGCTCACATTCCTTTTCGGAACTTCCTATGGAAAATCACTCCAGTGCGTAAAAGGCGGAGTGCAAATTGTCAGCAATGGAGAATCGCAATACGAGATATGCGCGGAAGGGCACTGCGTAGTGACAAAACATCCTCTACCGAATGACACTTTGTTTTTCCCACCGGAGATTACATTACATGACCATAGAGTGCAAAGGGAAAGGCTCGACGGAAGAAAAATCGAAGTTATCGAAACAACGTGTCCAGCAATTCCCTTTTGTGATAATGTGCAGTGTTGGTTTTGCACAGCCAACGCCTTTAATCCAGAATACAGTCCTATAGCAGCTCTGATGGTCTGGACAGTAACCTTCTACATGGCGATAGCTGTCATCTACACAATATGCTACGTGCCCCTCACCGTAGGAAAACCCTGTAGGGTGATCGTCAATTTATCATCTTGCTTGAAACTTCTCTGATTCTCAGATTCTTCACGAGCATACTCAAAGGCATCAAGACCGGGTACCTCAGGAGAAACCATCTAGTCGGGAATCGAAATAGGGAAATCGACGACTTTCACGAACCCCACTAATTGCTTTAGCCTTAATGCTGGCACTTGCCTCGACAAAAGCATGTCAGGACGTGGACATCTTTGCACTCAGAACAACCGTGTGCTCACAGAAATCCACTGGGAAATGCTTCATTGAAGCAACAAACATTTTGAAACTCAACACCTACAATCAGGAAGCTTGCATCAGAATTGTCAGTGGCAATACTTCAGTGGTACAACACCGACTTATGTGGAAAAACTTCAAACTGAAGTGTGAAAAGGAGATTTGTCGTACACAAGAAATACTGTCCAAAACGTCGTAGATGCCAAGAGATGTGCTCATTCATTGAGCTGTACTGGAAATAAGCGCGAGAATATGAACTTCACCTCTCGAATTCCAGAGCTGGAAGAGGGAAGTTCGTATCCTGGCACTACACACTGCGTGGAAGTGAAAGTTGTGGAGGTCCAGGATGCGGGTGTTTCAACCTGAGTAGTGGTTGTCTGTTTTACAGACTGTATCATATACCAGCTGATGACGAGATTTATGAAATCTTTCGATGCGCGACTTGGACAGAAACCGTGGAATTGGAACTACAATCAGAGTTCGGCAATGGATCGCAGGAAACATCGACGATCTACCTTCGGCCAACAATACCAAAGCAACACGGAAACATGAAGATCACTCTCAGCTCTATTACGATACCACCAACACCTAACCTAGATACTCATTTCATTGTGAGAGGAAACAGAACAGCGCTGTGGGACAAAAACACAGCACTCACAATGGAGTGTGATTCAGCGCTACAAGCCAAGAATTTTGACTGTGAAGTCTTCCACAAATGCAGCTGTCGCCGAAAATAGGATTCGATGCTCATGTGAGGAGATAGACGTGACGTCGCTCTTTCATGACCGAATAGAAGCACGTCTGCCTATTCGCCGACCGTGGATAGCCTTCGAGCAAATCAAAAACAACGGCCAGGCCATAATACCATCGCTTGTCACCGCGGAAATCCTAGTGCATGTTAAAGGTGACGTGGACCTTATGGTAAAAGAAACATCCGATGCGGTATGCATGGTTCCTGATGCGATCGTGAAGGCTGTTATCAATGCGTGCAGGGCGCCGTAGCTGAACTTCGCTGCAGCAGCACTCAGACTACCAAGGCAATAGTTCAATGCGAGAACAACTACTTCACGGTCCCCTGCAGCCCACAAGGAGATAAATGGAAAATCCGCTCTAGCCATACACAGGCTAGGGTACGGTTGAACTGCTCAGTCACATGCGGAACCACGAAAACCTACTTTGAAGTCACCGGAATCCTGAAGTGGACTAGAACACTCCACCACACGATCCGAAGCGTCATCAGCGGAGAAAACATTGTTCAAGATGAAATAGTTCTACCAGACGTCGGACACATCATTGAAGCTCTCATATCTGACTATAAGCATTTCGTCATCGCAATGTCATGTTCACTCGTTGTATCCATTGCAGTAGGCTACTTCATTTTCTTAGACTTGCTGTCTAAGGATCATTGGAGGAATCTAACTGATTCTTAATTTCATATGGATAGTTGCTTGCAAACTTTGCTTGCTAGTACAATGGACTACCAGAAAGTTAATGCGATCAGCTCTCCATCAAAATATAGGCCATACCAAGCAACTTTAGTGCCTCATGCTATTGAATCATTGTATAAGATGTACTCACCATAGTTTTCTCCATATCGTATTCGCCTTTTATCACGCGTACAGCTACCGGATTCCAAGCCCAAAAATTATTTCTTCAGAACCATGTCGAGCTCCTCAAGCAGCAGCAGCGGTCCGTCACCGACTACACAGAAGTCAAAAAAAACGCACTATCCTCGAAGGCGACAACAACGGCGACGCCGTCACCAGCTGCTCAGAATTCGAAGAAAACAACACTTCCGAAAACGACATCGACAGTACCGCCGAGACGTGCTTCTTCAACAGCCAGTCATGGCAAACGTCCTGGGACGCAGTCTCCACTAGCTAGTTCTTCTCAGGAGTCGGCGAAGCGTCCTCGAGTAGCTGATCTGCATCCGGTTCCACTGGGTACACCGCTGTCTGTATGGAGTAACATGTGCAGCAGTACAGCATCCATGTTCAGAAGTGCCAACTCTCAGCTGGAAGCTCTTCAGAAAAAAGAGATTGCGACGACAGCAGCTCGTAATGCTGAATTCAAACAACTTTCGCAGAGAGTTCAAAACCTCGATGAATACCTCTGAAAACATGTTCCCGCAAAGCATGAAAACGTGGAAGCCACAGCGAAGGCTATCGCTGAGTGCGTGAACATCATCGGCACCGAGATCAACAATTTCAAGGCGGATATGCAGGAAGTGATACCGAGGGATGTTCGAGCACTGGATCTCAAAATCACGGCACTCCAAGATGAGATGAACACAGATTGGAAGCCATCGAACATGCACAACAGATGCTGCCCGAGATCGTGGAAATGCTGAAGGAGATCCGTACCAAGCTCAACGAGGCGGAAAGCTCGGACTCAAGTAGCAGCTCAAGTGATGATTTACAGCTCGTCTAAGAGACTGTTCCTGAGAAAGAGAGCACGGTAACCACGCCTAAAGACGTCGCTGGCCGGGAGTATCCCAAGGATTCAGCTTCTCGAAAGAGACAGGAACGTGATGGTGAGGAGAAGAAGATCAGAGACAGCATTTCGGAAGTGAACAAGTCCCTCACGAGGATCAAACATGACATCTTCTCGACTTCTCACAGAATTGCGGAAGAAAGGAAGAGAGCGAGCCGCCATTCCATTTGTATGTTTCACATATGTTCGATTAACATTTCCCGACATTTTTTGTAACGTTTCTGTTCGAAAGAAGCCTATATAAGAGTGTCGGTGTAACAATATGTTCGATTGGAAAATAAAGGATACCACCGAACGACCGCGTCAGTTTTGGTGCATCGGCCGGGAAACAATAGGTATGAAGCTTCCGTTAGACACCAAATACCGAGTAGAGTGGTCGACTGTAACAACTACGGATTTGTGTTCGAATCCACAAGGTTCACTAAGAATCAAGCGTGTCACAGGATCGAAATACTTGGTTACTGAAACGCCGTCGATGCGCACAACTTTGACTGTTGACTGACGATCTCTGGGGTAACATGTTTGGCAGGTCTACCCAGAATACCTCCTGGGATTGGTTTAATCAACATCGGTCCGTCAACATAGTCCTCTAACCATGGGCACACTGCTGAATGACTTTGGATCATAGTATATAGAGACCTGACAGCTGTTAACTTGGACTGCATCACTTTCCAAGTGCGATTTTGATGGTTCTTTAAGGTACCTCGTTTTTACATAATCTTTATTGAGTAAATGAAACAAAGCCATTACATAAATGGATACAAAAGCACCAATCGACCAAGATATAAGGAGTATCAATCGAACAAATAAATGCGGTTAAATGAAGGATAAGAGTAAATGGGGTAAATGAAGATAAGGAAAGAAAAAGAATAGATGGATTGGATTTGAACTCCCTATTGTTTGTATTACTTGAACTTGGATTGGGTTCTCGCGGGTCCGCTACCGTCATACTAACACAGACGTAATTTCGACATGAAAACGACATAAAAAATGACCGTCCTAAGTCTGGGGTCGCCGAAGCATTCCCTCGCAAGCCGTCCAAGACTGCCCGCCTTCTTTCGTGGGCGGCGTACTTTGCCCAGAGCGATGGGACAAATCGTGACCCGAAGGTTCACGACAGCTGTGTTCAAGGAAGCAATTTGCCTGCTTTGGATTACAATGAAGTTGTGCACAGCATAATCCTCTGAATCGTGGATTCCATCGACTTTGTGACGATATCGAGCTGATCGGTTTATTTTGGAGAACTCGAAAGTCTCTGATACCAGTATTTCACCAGAGGTAGTTGCAATAGCATATCCTGATCGTCCGCATGGAGGTGTAGCATTTCCTGTTGTTACATAAAACTCTCATTGACTGATAGGACAGACGAATGCTGCTTTTAGGCCAGGTCTCGAAGGGATGTGAAGTTGACAACGTTCCTGTTTTTCGCTCCTCTTCTGCACTTGTTCACAGTCTTCAGTTGGATTCTCTGATTGGGCAGCTACAACAACATCTCGTGAGGAGTAACACGTTCCACCTTGTTTCGATCACCGGACTTTATCCTGGTTCAAATGCAGAAAATACGACGAATTATCAATTTGAGCATTCACCATAACCACTTCAACAGTTTTCTGCACAAAAACTTTACTGCTTGGAAAGAAACTCCATCCGCAAGACATGTGATTTTCCTCCGCTACTAATAATGAATTTCGACCGATTCGCTTTCTTTGCGCCTCTGGAGTGTAGCATGCGTTTGCACAGTCCGACAAAGACACTTCACCTGATTCAGTTCCCATATGGGAAACAGAGCTTCCCAGGGGTCCAGTTTTACATGTGTAAAGGGCATCTTGGCGTGTGCAATAAGAGACTTTCTCATACTTTTGTACCTCCGCCTCTTGATAAGAAACCAGAACGACATCAATAGCGCTCCACATATCCATTGTTGTCTCCAATAGAGAGGTTACCTCAGAAAAAAACGGAGGGAATTGTCGGTAAGGCTGTGTATAGTGGAAAGGAAGGTGTTGAGGTGAGTCGGATTGTTGATTATGAAGTTTCAGCCTCGATAACTTCTCCGTAGCCAGTTTTGGAGGAAAACACCGCAACTTCAAGTGGCACGAGTTGGAGCAGCAACAAGAAGTAGACAATTGCACTGACTTTGCAGAAAACATGATTAGCCTGCGTTGGCTTCACTACAGTAGGCTGAATACTGTCGAAGATCTGCACTTCGTTGTCAGCTTCATCATCCGCTGACTCCATCAATGTCCACCCCGTTTGATTGAAAAGGATCAAGTCAAGCGGATCTCCAAGCAATTCTCCATGTATTTTAGTCAGTGAATGACAAGTTGCAATGGCCGTGATCATTTCTCCATCCGAAGGTAAATCATTCGGTTTCATCTCTTCATTCTCCTCGGTGAAGGTGGGAGGAGACGCCCCGCTTGCGGGCGTTACGCCACGCAGTTGCTGAAATCAAGACCGTCTTCAGTAAGTGTTCCAGTTTTGTCGAAACAACAAACGTTGATCGCACCGCACGTGTTGATTGTCGACGGAGATGTGCAGAATATTTCCTTCTTGCGAAGTCGGAGATTAGAATTGATAATGCCAACGGACATTGCAGCCGGAAGAGCAGGTAGTACAACTATGGTAATGATGTCCAACGATCAAACATAATCTTTCGTATTGGTTCATTCCTTTGAATCATCAGGCCGATGTCATAGTTTGCGAATCGAGCGATTCGCTAGCGAATCGAACTTTGCGTCAGCGAGTCGAACGATGTACCAGCGAGTCGAACTAGGTACCAGCGACTCAATAGTGGCGGGAACCAACTTTCAAAGGAAGCCCGCCACATTCAAACAGTGTCACGTGACAGTGGACGCTGTTTGAAAGTGGCGGGAAGTGACAGTGCGCACTGTTCGAAAGTGGCAGACTTCCTTTAAAAGTTGGGTCGCGCCACTATTGAGTCGCTGGTACCTAGTTCGACTCCCTGGTACATCGTTCGACTCGCTAGCACAAAGTTCGATTCGCTGGTGCAACGTTCGATTCGCTGGCGCAACGCTCGGATTGAGCGATTCGCTAGCGAATCGCTCGATTCGCAAACTATGACATCGGCCTTATGGCGATCGTATAGGCGAAACCGAAAAGTGCAATACAGAACAGGAAGGCGACAAACTTGAACAAATCCTTTGTGAATCGGAAATCGATTGGTTTCGGGTACATAATCGATCGCACCAGTTGTCCTTTAAGAGTTGCATATGCCGTTCTGAGCACGATCGCCTTCACTTGTTTCCCTTGATAGTGTCGTGTCTGTAGAACCTGCGTGCCACAGTATAAAATGTGCTTGGAGTATTTTTCAAAGCAAAATCGCATGTCCTCCTCATCCTCGTGGACAGCAGTCAGCGCGCTTCGTTATAGGAACGGATTCTCCGGTCATACTTTCGTTGACAATGGCCGTCCCATTCATCAGTACCGCATCGCATTGCATAACACCGCCATGAGCAGGCACAAGGAAGATATCGCCTGGTACTAGCTCTTCACTGTTGTTTTCACAGTATCATCTCGTACTACTTGCACCTCGTTGGACGACTGAACCATGGAACGCAACTTCTTCTCCTGACTCCTTGTTTGGTAGACATCTATCGCGATTGACATCACAGACATAACCACTATAATAGAAGCATAGTACTCGTAATTATCCGAAAACCAGATGGAAACGCTGAAAACTTGAAAGATATATTAGGTTGTCTCATAAGTAGTGGCGCATTTTTTCAAACGGAAATTTTTCTTGTGAACCTCTAATGTTTTACAGCGTTTCATATACCATTCGATAGGAAATTATCTGCTCTATAAGAAGGTATGTACCCTTTTTTGATTGTTGCAAATTTCGAGTTTCAGGCATGCAAAGTGGGAGGTCCGGACGACGAATTTTCGCCAAACCGACAGCTGACCTAAACTTTATACTTCCCTGGAAGAAATTAATCAATAATGTAACTATAACTTACTCATAACGTCTACTAAACATTCCACATTTGGTTTCCCTAAAAGCTTGTCTCGTTTAATTTTGCGATTTAGTTATTCCAGTGCAACTCGGTAGTTGCCTGCCGGCTTTTGTGGCACTCGATCCTTGGTTGAAGGTGAACAGCAGAAGGTGCCGGGAGTGTTCCTTTTCGTCGACTTGACATACCACCATTTTCTATGCTGAAAATCGACCAGGATTGAAATCAAAGCCAAATTCTGCATGCGTGTAAGTAGAGCAGAAGAAGCGCTTCCTACAGCTGATAAAATAGCGTCAATACTGAGGAATTGGAATGGAAAATATCAGTCTGAAGGAAGCCCTATGGGTTGACAGGCAGCCACCAAGCTGCACTGGAATAACTAAATCTCATATTAAACGAGACAAGCTTTTAGGGAACCTAAATGTGGAATGTTTAGTAGAGGTTATGAGTAATATTCCATGAACGACTCTCTATTAATCTCGGCATGATTAGTATAGTATAAGTTGGTTCTCTTCGAGCTTCCGAGATTGATACAGAACTTTATATATATAAAGTTCTGTATCAATCTCGGGTTATGAGTAAGTTATAGTTACATTATTGATTGATTCTTTCAGGGAAGTATAAAGTTTAGGTCAGCTGTCGGTTTGGCAAAAATTCGTCGTCCGGACCTCCTACTTTGCATGTCTGAAACTCGAACAATTTGCAACAATCAAAAAAGGGTACATACCTTCTTATAGAGCAGATAATTTCCTATCGAATCGTATATGAAACATTGTAAAACATTAGAGGTTCATAAGAAAAATTTCCGTTTGAAAAAATGCGCCACTACTTATGAGACAACCTAATAGAATGGCGAAATTGCCCATGAAAAGCAGAACAATAATCGGTTTCAGCTTGACTTCGATGCAATTCTTTCCATAAGTGACCTGCCGGCGACACACATCCCCTTCAGATAGGCCTTTGCCAGATCCCACTTCGGCATGGAAATGCACTAAAGGGATCTGACCATCGAGATCAGCGGGTGCTATCCATGCCTCAACTTCGGATCGCCAGACATACATGAGTTTGCGAAATGTGAAATATCGAATAGAATTCACTTCTTGCATGGTTCCATTACCCGTTGGAAGCACTGGTGATATGCCATCGACGACCATTTGCAATCGAATAGGTTGAAATGCCTCCACATTGTGCTCATCGATCACATTGACATAATCTCCGGCGAGGGGCAACAATGAACTACATGAACTATGATGAAGTAAATGAACTACAATCACCCAACCAATGAGATATCATGAAATCGGCCGTACCACAAGGCAAATGACTAAGTGCGAAGCATGATCAGAAAGTGGAAAATTAGTACTGAGATAATGAATTAATAGAACATTGAAGTGAACCACACAGCTATATGAATCACTACACTCCAATTGAAGTAACTACCAGCCAAATGTGATGCACGTCAAAGCGGAGAACTGACCACCGTCTCTCGTGAGCTCAACCATTGCTGTCGAAAGAAACCTTTCCACTGTCCGTTCGAATTGGAGCTGAGCCTGCGCCGCAAGAAGACGACGGAGAATCAGTTTCAGAAGAGTACGACGATCGTTGGAATGTAGGCGAGCAACCCAGACGACAGCAGTGATGAGTACCGTAGCACTGACGATATGGCGTGCGAATAGGAATACCAGTCGAGCGCACGGTCGATGAAGAATACAGTAGTATTGATGGGTTGGTGGAAGGAGGGGCGAACAGAATGCTAGGCGACGATGACGACTGGAATGCGGAAAATGCGCTGGTGGTTGCAAACACACCAGTGCATTCTCCGGGGCGGCAAAGGACGTTTGGGACTTCCTTTGTTTCAGCGAAGCCGTTGATTGCGACAGTTTATTCGGGCACAGCAGGACATTATGCTCTCGCCCGCAGTAGGTGCAGAGAATTCCACAGTCCTCGCCATGGCGAGGCTGTAGACAGCGATTGCAGAGGCCAGGGTTATTTGCTTGAACTGCTCGTGAGACGGCGTCGGGGTAACGGCAACATCTGCCTGTTGGGTGGCAGTCTTTGTTATCCGCTATCGCACAAAATAGGCAGTTAGACCTCGGCTGCGTCCTCTCCAACAGGAGTTCAACTTTTCGGTTGAGGGCGTCGATTTGGCGAATATGCATGTCGGCGAGGGCGTCGATCTTAGAAGTGAGGCCTGCCGCGAAGGCGTTTAGTTGGTCTTTCAGGTCCCTAACGGCCTCGGTGAGAGGTTCAATGTGCACCGCAACGTCCACTTCATCCATGGCAGTGAAGAATGAGTCATTGCTATGCTCAGCGTGGCTTTATAGCTGGCAGGAGGGTTATCAGAGAGTGATATCTATATGTGTTTGTCAATCCCATCTTGTACTTGAATACTGTATTAGACTGCGGAAGAGCCAGATTAGATAACTAGATGTGAAGCTACGAGTTCTTCAGTGCATATCTCATCGTGGACGTCTACTGGGACTCGATTTTTGAAGATATCAAAGCAAAATTTTGGACACAACTTTGCAAGCTATCAGGCCGATGAAAATCGCTAACTTCAGAACAAGGCTGCAAAATTGTCCGGCAAGTTTGACGGTAGTCAGAATCGCTACAGGACCCAAGAAGTAGATGGCGGTCGAGAAGCATGCAACTGCCGCTAGTATGACAGCTGCTTTCCAGGGCTTCTTTATAGTTAGAAGCAACGGCTCAAGTCTGGGAGCTGCCAGTCATGCTAGAAATCCAATGGGTTGGTCCATTTCCTAACGTGAGAACTGAGAATCTTGTCCACATGGTTATGGGCTAGGTATTCCAGGATTCCTCCGTAGTTCAACCTGATTGTATGACCTGCGCATTCTGCCTTGCATTGCTGCTCGATTATAGCCCTTTAGATCCAGAGATATGACCGAACTCTTACTGGTGGGATCGCATTCAACTGAGAATACATGGTCGTCGCACTCCAGTACAATCCATGTTGGAATGGCTGTGTAACAAGAGATCCGAAGCGTGGCCCCTTCCTGGCAGCTATAGCACCCGGTCAAGTTATGGAGGAGGATGATGCAGTTCTGCGAAGTGACATATTCGACGCTGTCCTTTATGAATTTTGCTTCTATAGAAACAGTTAACTCCTCTCGTCTGGATGGAGCTACTATACTTCCCTGCCTGTGGTTTAACTTCACAAAGGGCGAAGAAACAGGAAGTTTGTTGGCGGAATCTGCTCTCATTGTAGCGATAGGAGCTTGCGGACAGTTGTTGGCTAGCGGGACTTATTCCGGTGTCGACGTCACATGTGATGTTGTTTCTACAAATATGAAAATTCTCAAGGGCTTCTTCATAGGATGAGCATGTTGTTGCCATTTTCATTTGCTCAGGTATGAGTAACGCTTCTTCATGTGCAATCGCGAACCTGCTGGTCAGTAGGGGACAAGTTGGTTTTACATAGGAGATGACGTTAAATATTACGTCCTGTCTTTTTTGACTGACATACGGCCTCATGATCAGTGTTGCCTGCTCTTCTCGGTAATGAGACAGTGAAACGTGAACGCGTAACCTTATAAGTGGCCTCCATTCCATACAGTTGGCTACTTCATACACCATCTTGATCATGTATGTGCGCAATTCTGTAGAAGGAGCATGCGGGAAATGGCAACAGACAGCCGCCACACATTAGACCTCCGCAGGACCGTTCACACCATGAATACCCTGGAAACTTGGAAGCGTTCGCAAACTCAGCGATTTCACTTCATAACGAATTTTCGAGCATACATCATTTCTACATGATCCCATTTGCGCACATCTGGTAGCGCTGAAGACTTCAGTTCTCGTATCTCTCGTAAAGAACAGGGTGCGCTCAGAGCAATGCAACTCTGTCGGGAGTCGTTCTATATGGATGGTACCTAACGAGTTGTTGGCCTGCAAAACTTCGATGCAGACAGTGTTCGGATGTCATTGAAAAGGAGCTCCCTACTGAAATGAAATGAGCAATTGTACTGTGACGTACAGATCATTTCAGCGTGATGTCGCGTGTTCCCTAATTGACATGCACGTCCTTCATGACATGTCATTGTGGACAGTATGATGGCTATGCTCATCAAAGCGCGCCTGAACGGCATCGGATGGAATGTTTCCAACGCAATGCTGGCATCATTTTCATCGTGCCCTTCAGCGTGCACGTAGGTGCCGCCGTCGTGAGCTTTTCTCGCGTCCGGTGGCGAACAGGCGGGGTGATTCCAGAGTTGCGTGTTTCCCCCACTGAGCTATGCTGCTTATGGTCATTCCTTCGCTTTCTTATAATCCAAACTAGCAACATGCCTGTGGAAATGATGCTATACGTCATGATGGCCATGGACATGAACGCGCCGACTGGCCAACAATGAGGATTCCCTGAAAGGTTTTTCGACAACGGGGTCTTAGAGACATCACACACTTGCGGGAGCGCGCAAATGACGTTGAACGATTTCGGGGTTAACTTTTCCTCATAAGTCAGTGAGGCGTTTATTTTACCACTCTTGCTTGTGGGCGGGATTTCAAAAACCAGCTTATCGTCTGTAGGTGGAAAGACTCTGCATGTTCCTTGTATGCAAAGCGTAAAATTACTTTGTGACGGAGTTACCCACAAGGAATCTTTCCTGCATAGGATTTTCGGTGAGGCTATTGTCTGTGGAAGCAACGAGATCAGCAGTAGTGTAAGTGCTGTCAATACCATCACGCTGGTGTTCCCTAACGATTTTGCTCGCGTGACGTTTGCCTCCGATTGATCCTTGATTGCTTGGATGGCTTTAGTCTTCGCTGTTCTCTGCGGCATTGTGTCAGGAGGATCAGCGCTTTTGCTCTCTCTGGTGAGTAGGGCCCTCTGTGGCTACATCACACGTTGGCGATGAAATTTCCAGTGGATACAGTTTGCTAAGAGGTCTATGCCATATTTGCTTATTCGGCATCAGAATTTTGACCGACCGTACCATGTTGTCAGCGCTTCTGATAACTTCGATTATCTTCCCGTAGCACCAGCTACCGCGCGGTAAACTCTCTTGTTTGACGAGTACGATCTCGTTCACTCTTGGCTCTCTTGGCACGAGATGTCTAGCTTGCTTTCGATGGATTACTTGCATTTCGCGCAACGCTGTGAGGTATTCGGAGTGCCACCTCTCCCAAAACTTTTCAGCTACTCTTTCGCTGTTTTCGAGTGCTTGTTTTGCTTGCGTGACTGACTGTATCAACTGCGGATCAAACGTAGGATCCTGGAGCTCATCTGGATCAAGTGATGCCAGCCCATACTTGAGAGATTTGTGGAGAAAATCCGCAGGTTTCACGGGTATATCTTCCACGTTGGCGTAGCAAGCGACGAGAGGTCGCGTGTTGACTATCGCCTCTATTTCTATAACAACTGTTAGAAACTCAGGATACTTCAGCTTTTTTCTCCCTACTGCTTTATTAAAGGCACGTTTAACGGTGCCAACTAGAATTGCGCCACTCATCCATGGAGCTACAGGTGGATAAAATATCCATTGTATCCTTTGCTCAGCGCAGTAGGACATGAAGCAGCTTTCATTCCGATTTTCGTTTTCAGAATCAGGTTTGATCAGAGTTTCTATTACTCGCTGTCCCAGTTTGAAGTTAGATCCACAATCTGTGCGCACCAGTTTTGGAGTTCCGCGTCTTGCCACGAATCTTTTGAAACAGTTGAGGAAAGCTCCTGCTGACATGTCTTCTACCACCTCGAGGTGAATGGCTCTGGTCGCAAGACATGTGTAAAGGCAGACGTAACCCTTCTTGTTTTCCGTCATTTATATCGGACCCATGAAATCGCATCCGATCTTCTCGTCAGAATTGACCTAGTTAGGAATTGATGGCATTTCAAGGGAACTAAAAGGTAGTCCTTGATATTTTCTGCATATTACGCAATTCCTCACGAATTTTCTGAAAGCACCTGATGGTCGAGGTATCCAGAACCGTGATCTTGCTATACACAGAGTGTGATCTTTTCCACTATGCGCGTTCTTGTTGTGAATGTCAGTCAAAGCGAGCCGTGCTAATGCGGAGTCCTTGTCAACATATATTGGATTTCTCGTGTCATAGGGAAGAATTGAGTTCTGCAGACGAGACTGATTCTGTATGATCCCATCGCTATCACGGATAATTTTTTTCTGAGGAAATCTTTTCTGGATATCCTGCAGGGAGATGAGCCTATGGACGCCTGCAAACAACAGAATTTCGCTTTTTGTGAATTCTTCACTGGTGATGGTGAACGATGGGCTAAATTCATTTAGGTGTTTCAACTGGATAGCTACTTCGTTCTTATTTCTGTTAACCTTATTCACCCATACGCGAATGGTCTTGCAAACTCTAGCCACCGTCCGTATAGCCTTATCTAGACGAGAAAACCGTGACAGATGGATAAGATAGCACTCCGTATTCGTACTTAATGGATGTGCTGATGCGACATATGAACTTTGCAGATCTGCAAGTGACTCTTCATCCGAGTCAGCAGTCTCGGCTTCGGAAATCGACTTCATCAGCAAGTGACGCGGTGTCTGTTCTTGACCCAGCCACTGAGGGCCGATTAGCCACGGTAGTTTATGTACGTTCTCCACATCAGCTCCGCGTGTACCCGCGTCCGCAGGATTCTTGTCAGTGGGAACATGCCAGAATTTGACTGAGTGTCCATTGAGCTCGATCGATTTTTTCACCTTCACTATGCGGCATTTTTGATTCTCCACGAATGCTGGAAGGTTACCCGAGCCTGTCACCCAGTATAGAGCTATCTCGCTGTCACTTAGAACATTGACGTCCTTTATCGGTTTTTTGCTAGACGTGGCAATAGTTTTGCCAAGACGTATCGCTATGAGCATTGCTAACATTTCAAGTCTTGGTATAGTTTGTCTTGTCTTCTTCGGCGTTAGCCTGGTCTTTCCGCTTATTAGTGGAGTCACCTTCAGGGTATGTTCGTTCCCAAAAAAGGCGCAAGCTGCCAGTGCTTGAGCACTGGCATCTGCGAAAATCCATAGGGTAAGCGGCCCT